GGGGTTAAGCCATATGGCCAGAAATTTCAGAAAAACAGATTTTGCCTCAATAAAATAACTTTTAATCATTAGAGTTGATGAACAGCTGCCTCAAAAATTAATACAAATTCCTGTTATAGTAGGTACTTTGCATCATCTGTCAGGATATTGTAGGTAGAAACTGGAATGAATAACCTTTAATCATCTCTTCAATTATGTTTCTATGTTCAGTCCTTCATACAAATTTTTAATAAGCTCTTATTTTTTTCATCTCTTTATGAGTCAGTCCTGTAGTTATTACCGCTCCTTGTAAGTGGACTATCATTGTTGTACAGGGGAGGAAAAATTTCTCCTCTTGCCTCTTAGGGTCTCTAGCTGTGCCTAAGAATTAAACTGTCATAGACAGATTAACAGAAGAAAAACATGTTTTATTAAAATTTTACACGTACGGGGGCACCTCACACAAAAATGAAGACCTCAAGAAGTTATCAGAGCATAAAGCCTATATATCTTTTTTTTTTTTTTTTAATTTTTAAAGATGTAGGGTACAATTCAAAATTAGGTACATAAATGATCATCGTACAGGTGAAGTTTGGGTCTCGCATTGATCCTCACTTTGCCTGGTTTGGGATCAGGTACCCTTACTGATGTTATGTCGCCCACCCTATCCCCCCACCCCACAGTGTCCCACTACTACCAATCCCTTTCTTACAGTGTTATGATAAATGTTCAGGATCCACTTATGAGTGAGAACACGTGGTACTCAGTTCTTTGTTTCTGTGTTGGATCACTGAGCATGATAGACTCTAAATCTATCCAAGTTGCTGTGAAGTCCATAATTTTGTTCTTCTTTATGGCTGCATAATATTTAATCATGTATATGTACCACCTTTTTAATTTTAATCCAGTCCACTCAGAAAACCTATATATATTTTAGACAAAGAAGTAAATGTTTGAATAAATGACAAGACAAGGATCTGGGGGTATGCATGGGCAGTAAATTGTGGAGAAGTGACTAAGAGATACATTGAGAAAAGCTGGTGGAATATAAATATTATTTTAGTAAATTGATTTGTACAGATCCATTTCAGGGTTAATTTCTAGTCTCTGGTGATTAAAGTGTTCTTCTCTTCCTAGTATAGGGAGAACATCTTTGTCACTAGGAATTCATGCCTGTCTAAGGTAGAAAAAAAGAGGTCGGAAGTCCTTCCTGAATCTGCTGTTGCTTGTGTACATTCAGCTTAAAATAATATCCTAAAGGTGCATATTTTGGGGTAATATGTCTTAAACTCCTTTAGTCTCTATGCTATGCTTTAATGTCTCAGAAGATACAAAGGCATGGAATATTTTTCCTCTGCATTTATGTGTAAAGATGGGTTGAAAGTAAATTAGTTGCATTTCAAAGAACTATTTTGGGACTCACATCAAGTATTTTTTTCTCTAAAAATATTTTTTCTATAGGGAATATATAATATGAACTATATCCTTAGTAGTGTTTCTACTTTATGCAACGTGTTTGCAGTGCTCTAGGTGCATGGGTTTAAGATTAGAAATCTTGGATAGTCTTGTCTCTGCTACTTATTGGCTGGATAATTTTACATAAGTTATTTAAGCTAGATTCTGTGGAATATAATATTGCCTTTGGGAAGGAGGAATGGTATAAGTAAAATCTCAGTGTTATGTATGAGCAGGATGTTAGGAATGTTGCAGTCTTTCCTGTAGCACTCAAAGTGTCATCATTTTTTTCCTTTTCTTACTCTGTTGGAGTCTTACTCTCTCACCCAGATTGGAGTATAGGGCACGATCATGGCTCACTGTAGCCTTCTACTCCTGTGCTTAAGGGATCTTTCTGCCTCAGCCTCCTGAGTAGCTGATACCACACCCGGCTACTTTTTGGATTTTTTTTTTGTAGAGATGAGCTGTCACTGTGTTGCCTAGGCTGGTTTTGAACACTTGGGCTCAAGCGATCCTTCCACCTTGGCCTCCCAAAGTACTGGGATTACACGTGTGAGCTATTGTACGCCGCCAAGTGTCATCTTTTGACAGCAGCAGTGGACCACCTTGAAGCTTGTTAGAAATATAGAGTCTCAGGCTTCTACCCCAGATCTGTTGAACCAGAATCTACATTGTAACAGAGAGTGACTGAAGTTAGGATTAGAGCATTTGTCTAGGGTAGCATTTTGTGAATCTTGTGTGCTCATAAGAATTTCCTTGGGAATTTGTAAATAGCACTGATGCCAGGTCATCACCCTGATTAAAGGAGGTAGGGTCCAGGTACTGATAGTTTGGGAAGCCCCAGTGGTTCTTCTGAGGCTACCCTTGCAAATAGCCTTTGGGAAATACTAGATTAAGAGCTTTGAAATAAGCAATAATGTCTGTTTTGCTTCTGTTCTGTACTCTTGCCTGATAATGTAATGTCTGTTGAATGCAGACTCTTTAGAGAGCTTTCCTTTCCACCTTTCCTGGTTTCAAGTAAAGACTGTTCTCGTGTCTGTCCTTCCTTTGGAAGATTTTGTTCTCAATTTAAAAGTGAAAGAAGATATATCATAAGGTTTTCAGTTAGTCAGAGGATTAGAAGAGAAACACTTACCTAATGACAATGAGGTGAGCATCCACCTGTAACAGAAGCTATGTGAGTGGTAAATTTGCAGAGGTTGGATTGGCCTAGGCTTAGGAACTTGGAGTCAGTCTCTTTGCCTTGGTGATCCATACATTTTCTAGTAAAGAGCACATGATTAAAGTACTATTGTAGGAAAATTTATTTTGGTAATAAACTTTAGTGACTTGAAAGAAGGTAGAGATTATAATTGATGAGAGTATTATAGAGTCTGCTATTGTAGTCTCTGAAATTGTGAGGATTATAATCCATTCTGGAGTTGCTTTAGAGTTTTGGAGTGAGCTAGACAGTAGAGATATTTTGAGAAAGGGATGTATTTGAATGGAAAAGCAGGCCAAGGTGGGCTGGGCATGTGGTTCACACCAGCAATCCCAGCACTTTGGTAGGCCAGGGCAAGAGGGATTGCTTGATCCCAGGAGTCTGAGACCAGCCTAGGCAACATAGCGAAACCTCGTCTCTACAGAAAATTAAAAAATTACCTGGACCTGGTGGCCCATGCCTGTAGTCCCAGCTACTTGGGAGACTGAGGTGGAAGGATCACCTGAGCCCAGAAAGTTGGGGCTGCAGTGAGCCATGTTATCATGCCACAGCACTCCAGCTTGGACTAAAGAGTGAGACCTCATCTCAATATTAATCAATCAATCAAGCAAGCAATCATACCAAGGTGACTAAGAGAATGGTAGTTTTATCAATATAAACTTTATAACATTTGTGTAATCCCTGTGGGATTCCAGCTAGCTTTGGATATTTTTACTAGTCTTACTTGGTTCTACTAGTACTATTATAGTGGCCGAAAGTTCAATCTGAGAGACCACCAAGAGCCAATTCCGATGAAAGTTCAAGAAGGTCTTTATTTTGCAAGCTCGAGCCTGGACCTCTGTCGACAACTGACACAGCGGAGTACACCCAGAGGCCCTGACTTCCTTAAGCAGACACCTTTTATGTTTCTACACAAAGGAAGGAGGAGTTTGGGGGGACTTTCCAGTCTTGTTACCATTTAATTGAGTAATAACCTCTGGTGGTCAGCTTAATCGTGGAGGATTGGCTAGCTTGACTCAGGCTGACCTTGGCCCACTAGCTGGGGAAGTTGCAGAGACATTTGGAAACTTTAGGTGATTTTCCCCTGGCACCTGATTGGTTGTTGCTAAGGGGAAAGTGGGTCAAGGGAAGGGGTTGAAGCTTGAACTGGAGCTTTGCAGTTTTTCCCATAACTGAAACTTTAAACAGCTACAGGTTATGTTTTAAAGCAGAAAACTAAAATGGCTGTGCTATTGTCCACAAGCCAATTACATATTTATTGGGTTATAGTATGCTCTTAACCTAAGTCTATGGTATACTCTATTACGGTTCTCTCACTATGATTCCTGGTATTGTACTCATTTGTGTATTAGAAGACTACTTCTCAAAGGTTACCTAGCTTGCCCAAGGTCAGTGATAGAACTGATAACCCAAACTATGACTGTCTGATGCCAAGAGCCATTCTCTTTACGGTTTCCAGTACATGCTATGTAATTAACCATTTTTGTTGTAATTTTGGGATCATTTTTACACATTAGATTTGTAGTAAGCATCTTTACAACTTTATGTCACATTATTTTCATTATTTCAGCCATCGTTAAGTTATTTTCTGAAAGATACTTTGTTTCTCCTTTTTCTATCAGTGATATTTTCTCTGTTTGAAACTCTTAACATCTAGCTCACAATTGCTTCCTGTGTCCTATGTGAATCTTTTCGTTATTCACAACCACTAGTGGTTTTTTCCTCTTCTCAACTTTTTTATTTTTATATTTCCTATTATTCAGTTAATACTTAATAGATGTCATTTATATGATTCCTGGATATGAAATTCTCTATCAGTATAGTCAATGAGTACAAACTCATTTATATTTGTAATAATAACAGATATAATATGGAAATATGTAGTAATTGGTGTAGGTAAGAAAACTACTTATTTATGCATGAAGAAGTAGGAAATCAAATAATTTTTATGGATTTTTAAGGACCTTTGAAAATTGAGAGATTATTCCCTTATTTGGGAGTTTTTGGCTCCACAGAACATATGATTTGGGTTTTATTTTCCTTTGGGTTTTACAGTAGTGGAGAACAATGCAGCCTAAGCTAAATATTTAATGACTTTAGTTAATTTCTTGGTTCTGCTGCTTAGAGTATAAGGATAAGCAAATCACAACTTCTAATTCCTCACTGTAAAATAGGAACACCAATCTTTGTAATACATACTTTTTAGCTTGTTATGAGAACCAGGTTAGAAAATATAGGTGAAAACTCTTTGTATACTGTTAATGTGTTAGATGGCAATGTAATTAAAATGTGCTTTTTAGATAGTCATACTAACTACTGCATCCTTCTTTAGTATTTTTTTCTTTCTTTCTTTTTTTAAATTTAGCTTTCCTCAGGCTACAAATCAAACATTGCTAGACAAGTTTAAGCATCAACATGAAGAGAATTCTTACATCGAATTTCCAGCTGTGATGGAGCCTGCTTTCATCATAAAACATTATGCTGGAAAAGTAAAATATGGGGTAAAGGTCAGTAAATCTCTCACTGAATATGCTTTCAGGGCGGAGGTATGTTTTTGACAATGTCACTCATCCTGACACACTACCCACTCTGTAGTTTGTGGAGGCTTTTGATTAGTAATAATTGGAGACATTTATAAAGATGTTACTAAAATTCAGATTCTACTTTTCAGTACATTACTGTCTTAAGTAATGCAGTTTGTTTCTGCCTACATATAAACCTGATGTCAGTTCATTCTAATAACTTTTTAGATCTGAAAGAATAGATAGCATCTATATATCTCAAATCCACTTGTTCATTCACATAATTTGTTGAATTTTTCCCTTCTCTGTACCCATAAGTCTTGACAGAGTCTTCATGTCTTCATGCATTATTAGGTATTTGTGAGCTTGCACTTTTAATGATTGTATTGAAACTCCTAATTCCTGTGTAGGGGAATCTTCATAATCTTGTCCATTTCTTGTTTCTAATTGGTGAATCTGTCACTCTTCAACCATTTGATGTTTAAATCTGCCATGTAAAGCACTTAATTTCACTGCAAGACAGTGAAGATACAGAGAATAGTTCAGAAATTTATTGCCTCCTGGACCTTGAGTAAGTATCTTAAGATAATTTATTCATCCGTTAACTGATATATTTATTCAAGAAGTATTTACTGGACACAGACCATGTGTCAGACTTTGTGCTTGGTGTTTGGAATGATCTGATGATAAACTAGACAGACATGTTTCTGACTCTATGTATATACATGTTACATATACATATATATTTATATACATAGTACGTATACATGTAATATAGAGATAAATGAACTATGTACTACAAATGAATGAATGAGTTCAATGAGAGAAAGTAGTAAAATAATGGCTTTTGAATTTGTTGATTTATGGCACCTCTCTAAGAAACTTAAATTTTGAGATGACCTGAAGTAAATGGTACCTTGGCGGGGAGTTAGCGTGGCAAGCATTATAGATCATGGAATAGGAAAGAGTTTGATATGTTGAAATAGTTGATAATACATTAGTGCTGCTAGATTATAATAAAGGAGAATGATGTGAAATGGGTTAAGGTAATGATCAGTGGGTCAGTTATTTAGGGCTTCTAGGCTAAGTTAAAAGAATTTGGTTTTTATTAAAATTATTATGAGATACAATGAAAAGATTTTATTTATTTTCTGAGTTGGAGTCTCACTCTATTGCCCAGGGTGGAGTGAAGTGGCATGACCATTGTGATAACTGCTCACCTCAGCCTCGACCTCCTTGGCTGAAGGGATCCAGCCTCCCAAGTAGCTGGGACTACAGACACATGCCACCACGCCTAGCTAATTAAAAAAAAATGTTTTTGTTGAGATGAGATCTCACTGTGAGGCCCAGGCTGATCTTGAACTTCTGGGCTCAAGCAATCCTCCCACCTCCCAAAAGTGCTGGGATTACAGGCATGAGCCACCACTCCTGGCCTATGAAAATATTTTAAGCAGAGACTGTGACTTGTGTTTTTAAACAATCACATTGATTGCTTTGGGGGAAAGGGACAGCAGAGGGTGAGTGTGGAATCTGGGAGATCAATTAGATAACTTTTTTTTTTTTTAAACTGTGGTGAAATGTAAAGGTAAACTTTGAAGTGGCATTAGAGATTAGGGAGATCCAGATAATTATGAGATATATTTGGGAGGTACCATCCACAGATTTTTTTATTGATAGACTATAGGTGACTAAGTGACTTTTGGATAGAGCTTTCGGGTGAATTGAAGTATTGCCTTAGATGAATAAAACAGGGAATAATGAATTTTAGAACAAAAATTAAGAATACAGTTTAAAAAATAAAACAAAAACTGGAGCATATTATGAGATGAATGAAGTGCACAAATCTAGTGTTTGAACTTCTTTTTGCCCCTTCCCAGCTCAGTCTCCCCTCAGCGGTAACTACTATTCTGACTTTTATCATTCTTAATTTACTTGTTATTAAATTTTATATAAGTGGGATTATAAAGTATATATACTTGTTGTGATATTCATTTGTGTTGAAAGTTAAAGGATAGGGAAAGGATAAAAGCTGGTGGAATTGTATTATTGTCATACAAAGTAGACCTTAAGGCCAGAAGTATTTCTAGTGACAAAGTGGTATGTATTCTAATGACAAAAAGGGCCTGTTCAACAGGAAGACATAATCACCAAAAGTTGTATGTACCTAATGACTTTGATTCAGAATATGTAAAACAAAAGGAAAGCAAAAAGCAGACCTAGGCAAGCCCACAATTATAGCTATAGATTTTAACACTTATCTCTCACTACCTAAAAGAACAAGCAGATACAAAGTCAATAAAAACAGCACTATTAAATGACTAACTTAATTGGCATATCATAAAGATATACTTGGACAATCATAGGATATTTAGAAATTGTGCAGAACTCCTCTGAATAAACCAAGAGTCAAAAAAGAAATCACAACATGTCACTTATAATTATAATATTTTATTCCAAACATTACTGTAAATATTGCATATCAAAATTTGTAGGATGCAGTTTAAGTAGTAATTAGAGGGAAATTTATAAACTTTAAATGCATCTATTAGAAAGAAATAAAAGTTAAAAAGTAGTTATCTGAGCTTCTATCTCAGGAAACTAGGGAAAAAAAACAGTAAATCGCACCCAAAGTAATTAGTGGAAGGGCACAATAAAGATAAGACCAGAAATCAAAGCAATAAAGCAGACATAGGATAAGGAAATCAACAAAGCCAAAAATTACTTCCTTGGAAAAAAAAATATATATAAATAAAAAAAATTGGTAAATAATGATAGAAAAGATTCATAAATTACAGATATCAGGACTGAAAAAGACAGCTTTACTACATGCATTATAGATATATATTTGAGTATATTTTATCTATATATATGAATATATTTTGCAATAAATTTGAAAGCATAAAATAGATAAATTTGATTAAGACACATCTTACAAAAGCTAAAACCTGAAAAAAATAGGAAAACCTGAAAATTTTATCACTTAAATAATTTGAACTAGTAGTTTAAAACATTGCCACAAAGGAAATTCCAGGCCAACATGGTTTCACTGGTGAATGCTTCCAGACTACTGGTGTGCTATTGGTCTTACACATTCTTTTTATATTGACATACCTTTAAGATGTGTTAATGGATCTCAAAAATAACAAGAAAGATCTGAGCTAGAAATAATATATTTGGGCCTCATCATATAGACAGTGTTAATGTAAAGTCATAACTATGATTCTGATCACTTGTAAGAGGATTGAGCAAAGAAATGAGTACACACTATCAAACCCAATTTGAATTTCCAGTATGAACTAGTAGTGGGGACTTAGAAGGGCAGCACAAGAGGTGAGTGATAAACAAAAAAGTTTTTTGTTTTTTTTTTTTTTATGGAAACCAAAAGAGAGTTTCAAGAAGAATGATGTGGTCAGTTTATTATGTACTTAGAAATCTAGAACTATGAAGAAGATAGACCATTTCACTTGTAAAATGAAGGTCATTGGTTACTATTGATATTTGACAGTCAACTTTAAAAAGAATTCTAGATATTTTTTTTGAGTTGGAGTCTCACTCTTGTCACCCAGCCTGGAATGCAGTGGCATGCTCATGACCACCACAGCCTCGACCTGCTTGGCTTAGGTGACCCTTCCGCCTCAACCTTCCAAGTAGCTGGAAGTGTAGATGCACGCCACCATGCCTTGCTAGTGTGTGTGTGTGTGTGTGTGTGTGATTTATTGTAGAGACAAGGTCCCACCAAGTTGCCAGGCTGGTCCCGAACCTCTGGGCTCAGGCAGTCCTCTTGCCTCAGCCTCCCAAAGTGCTGGGATTACACCATGCCTGGCCAAATTCTAGATTTTTAGGCTGTACAGTATAGTTATTAATAGGATGGAGTAGTCTTTGGAGTGTGCAGATTGGTGTTTCAGTTCCTGCACTGGTACTTATTATCTGTTTGCCCTTTGGCAAGCTACTTTACCTCTCTGTTTATTTATAAATAAATATATGGATTATGGCTGGATCTGCTTTATTGAGTAATTGTTAGAATTGAGTAAAAGTAAGTTATTTAAAGTGAGTAAGTTAGTGCCTGACAATTTGTCTGCCATCAGCAGGCATTATCTGAGTATGGTGGTTGTGGTGATTTGGATTTGAAAACTCTTACTCAATTTTACTAACTTTTTTATTTGTTTGTTTTGTTTTGAGTCAGGGTCTCACTCTGTCACCCAGGCTGGAGTACAGTACACGATCAGAGCTGACCACAGTCCTGACCTTCTGGGCTCAGGCAATCCTTCTGCCTCAGCCTCCTGAGTATATGGGACTACAGACATATGCCACCAAACCTGGCTAATTTTTTTTTTTTGTAGGAATAAGAACTTGCTGTGTTGCCTAGGCTAGTCTTGAATTCCTGGGTTCAAGCATCTTCCCACCTCTGCCTCTCAAAGTGCTGGAGTTACAGGCACGAGCTACCATGCCTTGTCAAACTTTCCTTTATAATCCATACTTTTTCTCTAAGGGTATTTAAGGACAAGCCAAGGACCAAGACTTCTGGCTTGTTTCACCTTTTCCTCAATTCTCAGGAGAACAAAGAAGAATTAGGAAAGGAAAGCCCTAAAGGTAGTAAGTTAAGTCCAAGCTGAAAAGGATAGATGATATTTTTATTTTATTTTATTTTATTTTTGAGTTGGAGTCTCACTCTGTCACCCAGACTGGAGTGCAGTGGCCGCTCCCGGCCACCGCAGCCTCGACCTGCTGGGTTCCGGCGATCCTTCTGCTTCAACCTTCCAAGTAGCCGGAATTACAGGCATGCACTACCACACCCGGCTGATTTTTTGATTTATTGTAGAGATGAGGTCTTGCTGTCCAAGCGGGTCTTGAACCTGCGGGCTCAGGCAATCCAGTCACCTCAGTCTCCCAAAGGCGCGGGATTACAGGCTGAGCCACTTGGTGTATTCCTCATGAAATTCTAAGTTAGAGGTATTCTGTGAAGGTGCATCAACTTGGGGTGATTTACTCACCAATTTTTTTTTTTTTTTGAGTTGGAGTCTCACTCTGTCACCGAGACTGGAGTGCAGTGGCCGCTCCCGGCCGCTGCAGCCTCGACCTGCTGGACTCTGGCGATCCTTCCGCCTCAGCCTTCCAAGTAGCTGGAACTACAGGCGCGTGCTACCACGCCTGGCTAATTTTTTTTTGATTTATTGTAGAGATGAGGTCTTACCAAGTTGCCCAGGTGGGTCTCGAATCCGCGGGCTCAGGTAATCCACTCACCTCGGCCTCCCAAAGCATTGGGATTATAGGCTGAGCCACCGCGCCCAGCCCAAATTTTTAATCCTTCCATTTTGATGGGAATATAGTTGTAAGATTATAGTCCATGCCTGTACTGTATATATAATTCTGGGCCCTTGTTCCTGGGATGTATGCCTACTGTCCTCGCCTCTCTTTATATGGTACATTTTAACCCATTTTCTTGGGTTCCATCTCCTCCAACCCCTATTCTTTGGCAGATAGTTGTTTCTTCTGATTTACTGCCTTTATTTAGCTTTAAAAGTTTATACGCTGATAATATCCAAATATATTTTCTGAAATCTCCCTAGGGCCCCAGACTTATATTCATTTAGTTATTTGACTGTGTTCGAATCCTTGCTCTTCCACGTGTTATGTGATAGGGCCAGAATACTTCACCTCTCTCTGGCACAGTTTACTCCTTTATAAATTAGGAATAACCATTTATATCCCAAAGGATTGTTCAGAGGATTAAATGAGATGCACTGAGATAATACCTGTGAAGTACTTAAAGAAGTACCTAGCACATAGTAGCTTCTAAATAAATGTCACCCACAACTATTGCTATCCTCACTGTCTCAAACTTCCCTGGGACAAATCCGTTCTCTTGATTTTAATTTCCTATCCCCAAATCTTTTTTTTCTTTAATCTTCTCAATGTCAGAATACAGCATCTCTATCTACCTAGTTACTCAACCGTAAAATATAAGTGGTAAACTAATTCTCTCGTTCTCTCACTACACCCTACTCCATCAGCAGGTTTTTTTTGCCTTGACTTACAAAACATGTCCCAAGTATTATAACTATTTTTTGTTTCTACTGTTGCCACCAACCTATTCCAAGTCACTGTCAGCTCTTAACCTGGTTTATCATAACATCTAGTCTTTTTTTCCATTCTGTCTCTGTATAATTCATTTCCTATGCTGCAACCAATGTGGCTCATAAAATACCAGTTGGCTCATGTCATTACCCTTCTAGGGCTTTCCTTTATACTTGAATACAATCCAACTCAGGTTTACAGACTCTATATAACCTAGTTATTTACCTCATCTTCCATCACTCTCACCCTTTCCCCTGATGCTCCAGCTTTTGGTTTTATTGCTATTTTTTCTAAGTTGCCCAAGTCGTCACCACCCATAGGTAGTAGGTGTTCCCTCTGCGTGCTCTTTCAGGTTTTCTCATGTCTGGCTCCTTTTTGTTATTCAACTCTCTTATGGTTGTATGTGATACCTCTTTGGAGCGACTCTCCTTGACCAGTGTTTAACATGCTGTAATAAAATTTTCTAATTTACATGTATTAAATAGTTTTAGGGTTGGATGAAACTTTATAGAAGGCATATGGTCCACTTAACTACCCAGGACAGAAGTTGCTTCTGTCGTCATTATCCAACCATTGTTCAAGCATGTCACCCATCATCTTGATTTTAATAGTTTTTTCTTTTAGAGATAATACTGGTTCTTTTTTCATGTAGGATTTCAGGGAAAAAAATACAGATCATATGCGGCCAGACATTGTAGCTCTTCTGAGAAGTAGCAAGAATGCGTTTATTTCTGGGATGATTGGAATCGATCCTGTAGCTGTTTTCCGATGGGCAGTTCTCCGAGCTTTCTTCAGAGCCATGGTTGCTTTCAGGGAAGCTGGGAAAAGACACATTCACAGAAAAACTGGTAAGCAGTTGTTATTAGTATTCTACCATGCTTCATCTTTTCACTCTTTTTACTTCTTTTTCACAAGGAGTAAAGTCAAAATAATAATTTTTATTTTGTTCTGTTATTTTTTAACATACTCTAAGATCATGTTTTAGCTCTGATGAATGGGGTGAACTTTGTATGATTAAGTGTAAATATTGTATGTTTAGGTATGTGTTGGCATATTTTGATTGATTAATTAATACTGACAGGAATAATGAGTGCTAAGTACCTGGTATGTAGTAGGCACTCAGTAAATCATTGATATGAACAAATAGTGAAGTGATAATTATCATTTAATGATTTAGTATTTCATCTTGATATCTTTATTTTTTCCTATGCAATGGTTTGTTTTACTACAAATGAAACAATCTAATGTGAAAGCATAAATTAGGAGAAAGAAAAATTGGGATGGAGGAAGTATGATAAAGTGGAAGGAATCCTGCTTCTGTAATCAGTTGTATCATCTCTTGACTGATTTATGGCTATGAGCAGTTTTTCATTGCCTGTAGAAGAGAATTATTACTGCCTTTAAATTCACGAGGGTAAAGTCAAGTAGCATCTGTAAAGCATCTGTTCATGAAGTGTTCATTTTCTTTTCTTTTACCCTTACTCGGTTCATTAGATTTCACTTTGAGATATAGAAATAGATAAAGCAGGATACTTTTTCTGTGTGCCTCCCCCTTTAGTCACTGAAATCTCATCTTGCATTCTGTGGAGGGCAGCTTCATAAGTAGTTCTGGCCTACTAGAAAGCACATGGTTGTTTGCTGTAGCTCCAGTCTTAGATAGGTAATTGCAACATAGTAAGGAGTTTCTGATACATATGCCGTTGAGATTTATGCCCTTCAGTAAAAGCGTGATAGGGCTCTCTTGTGCTTTCAGGACACCCAGACTGACTTACGAGGGGGGACCCAAAAAAACCTGGAGTTATTTTTTGGAGGGCAAGCCTCTTATAGTACAGGCTTCCCCCACTAGGTAAGTGATCTGGGAACCCATCAACATCAGTGTACCAATAAACATTGTTGTGAGAGGCTGCATTTGGCTTCAGTGAATTTTGTTTTTGAGATTCTTTCAACGTGTTTGTCTATTTAATGATGGGTGTTTTACGAGTATACTTGCCCACACTGCGCTGAGTGTTCAGCAGTTTTTGACCAAAAAATCGCATGACCCCTGTTCCTCACCCTCTCTGTTCTTGATATCGCTCCAAGTTACTTTTTTGTTTTCCTGGATGACAAAAGTCCTGCAAGGGAAATGTCTTGCTGATGTGGGAGAGGTGAAACAAAAAATGGCAGAAACACTCACAGGCATCCAAATTGATGGGTTTTGAGCAGTGGAAAAAGTGTCTCAACGGGTGTATTGTATCAAACAGAGTACTTTGAAGGTGACTGAAGTTTAAACATGTAAGAATAAATGCACAGTTTTTAATAAATAAATTCCTTTTTTTTGATCCCCCCATATAGCTTTTTGGGATGTGTACTAGCAGTAAAACTTTAAATTCAGCTTTTAAGTATTTTTATGAATGAGTATATTTGGGAGATGTGTTTCTAAAATGAAAGGCAAAATATTGAATACACTTTCTACTTTTTAGATTGTAATGTGTATGAACTGGTCTTTGTAGGTAAGGAGAATTATAGTTTATTGGAGAAATAAAAGGACTATTTTAAACCTTCTTTGCCTTTTACAAAGTGATATCTAAGAGATTATCTTTAGAAACAACTTTAAGGACATTTTTTTCCTTAAGTTGCCTTCTTATTTATTACAACAAACTTCTGGTAGACAGAACCACTTAAAATTGATAAACATCCTGCTATTACATAACTGCCTAAAAGAATAAACTTATCTTATATTTACTATTAAGTATGTCACTTTCTGCAAAACTTATTCACCTTATTCACATTTTCTGTATTTCTTTGACATTTAAATCTATTACCTGTGAAAGCTAGTTGTATATCTATTATAATCAATTTGAACAATGACATGCAATATTATTAATGATAAGCAAACTGAACTTATATTTCCTCTGCCTTGATAAAAGTCTAGATTCCTCTTGTTTTCCTGTCTAATGTTTCTTTCTGACTAGTACTGAGCTTCCATATAATAATCTCTTTTTGAAAATGCATACAGAAAAGTGCACAAAGCAAAAATAGCTCAGTGAAATATTACAAAGTAAAAACATCCATGGACCTACTACCTAGGCTAAGAAATAGAACATTACCAACACCCATAATTTTCCCTTGAATAAAGTTTAAAATTTTTACTTTTTTTTTTTTTTGAGTTGGAGTCTCACTCTGTCGCCCAGATGAAGCGCAGTGGCTGCTCCCGGCCACCACAGCCTCGACCTGCTGGGCTCCAGCAATCCTTCCGCCTCAGCCTTCTGAGTAACCGGAATTACAGGCGCACGCTACCACACCCAGCTAATTTTTTATTTTTATTGTAGAGATGAGGTCTCACCTGCCCAGGCGGGTCTTGAACCCGTGGGAAATTTTTACTTTTTTAAAGGAAAAGAAAAACTCTGGTTTGTTTGCATTTTGAGGCTAACTGAGCAGCTTTGTTTCTGGAAATAAACAAGTATTAATTTTGATATATTTTTACAGTATGTTAGTATTCACTCTAGCATTTGTTTTTCCCATCTACTGTCTTTTGCTGAGTTTAAGATAAAAGGATACCATAAAGTTAGAACATTGTAGCATTGCAAATTGAAAACTAATAAATTAACTATGAAATTGGATTTAAATAGTAGATCTAGACTTCATCAAGCCATCTGAGCACAATTGAGAATATCTCATTAAAATTTACTTTTCACTGTTCTTTTAAAGACTTCTGAAAGGACATAATGCCATTGTTAAGACCTGTAAATCAAAAGTAATTCAGCTATTTTTGAGAACAACTTGTTATAATGATAGGGTGTATGTTATGGTTCTTAGGCTGTATGTTATGGTTCTTAGGAAAAAATAAAATGTTCTTAGTGTAAATAGGCTATCTCAGTGAAGCTACATATTGACCCTGCTGAGAGGTGAAATGGAAAATGGTAATAATTTGTCTGGTCAGCAGTGGGGTATTGGAGAACAGATGTGCAATTTGAATTATCAACCTTGACTCTGATTTCTTCCTTCTGAATAAAGAAGAACCAGGAGGGTACTATTTAACCCTCATGAAGAGGATATAGCAGAGAATATTACTTGACCATGATTTATACAGTATGTAGAATTGAGTACAATGATGCCTTTTTTTTTTTTTTTTTGAGTTGGAGTCTCACTCGGTCGCTCAGACTGGAGTGCAGTGGCCACTCCCGGCCACCGCAGCCTCGACCTGCTGGGCTCCGGCGATCCTTCCGCCTCAGCCTTCTGAGTAGCCGGAATTACAGGCATGTGCTACCACGCCCGGCTGATTTTTTGATTTTATTGTAGAGGTGAGGTCTCGCTGCCCAGGCAGGTCTCGAACCCGCGGGCTCAGGCAATCCACTCACCTCAGCCTCCCTAAGGCGCGGGATTACAGGCTGAACCACCGAGCCCGGCTTTTTTTTTTTTTGAGTCACATAAAAGTAGAGCCAAACAGGAACTTAAATTAGTCTAAAAGTCAAAGACAGGGAATTCAGCTATGCTATTGGGATAAGAGGTATGAACACGAGGGTTCAAAGTATTTTTCAGTTTTTCCATTTACAGGGAGAGAAGCTGAAACCATCTATATAATGTCTGCAGATAGAAGGTTTTATAGGTTTTCATATAAGCTGTTCCTCTTCCCTATTCCACTCAATAGAGTAATGTGCTTCCCTATTCCATTCAATAGTCTAATGTGCTCTTATTTGTTTCTGCAGATGATAGAAGGGTTCTAATGTTCATCTATTTTCTGAAATGGTTTTGGAGGCTAGAATCTCTGTGTACTCTGTCCATAGTTCTACCCAAAACTTAAGAGACTTAAATAGATTTTGGTTAAAAAAGGAAAAAAAAACCGGGGCATTTTTTACAAATGACTTTTTTATTGGGCACTATAGCATGGCGATTAAGAATAAAGGTTTTTGGATGAGCATCAGTGAATTGGTGAAATAAGGACCTCCAAAAATTCTCTCTTCCTCAAGAGCAGTGAGAATACTAACAAATAGGGTAGGCACGGTGGCCCACTCTTATAAATCCAGCACTTTAGAAGCCTGGGAGTGAGAGGATTACTTGAGCCCAGGAATTCAAGACCAGCCTAGGCAACATAGTAAGGCCTCGTCTCTATAAAAAAAAGAAATAATAATAAATTACACCAGAATTTAAAAACTAGCAAAAATTGTCAGAATAATTTTGTCAGATCTCTGAAAATTAGAGGCTCACAGTAACCTGGGAAGAATTTATACAAGAAAAAGTGCTGAATATCAGTAAAGACAGTGTACTTTGTGATGTTTTAACATGTGCTGTTCACATCCCTTCCTCTCCAGATCCATGGTAACCTAGACAACCAACACCCCGGAATCATGGTCAAAATCAGCACTGTGGCAACCACTGGAGGGAGTAGAAGGGACTGGAACTCCTTCCAAGCCCCATTCCCAGAGAATTTTTATTCAACCCATTGGGTAGTTTCCTGAATACCCTTCTTGCAAAACTGTTCTGTTTAACCTGACTTGGAGTTTGGCACTGGGAGCAGCCTTTATCCCAGGGGCATTGTCAAAAACAAACAAATTAGTTGTTGAACATTGCAGGTGCCTGATTCAGTAGATAACAGTTGTGGCAACCAGTAGCATAACCAAAATGCTTAAAAGGAAAAACTGGGGAGTGAGCTCTCCATAATGACTTTGAAAAGTTTCTGTTTATGCCTGGGAATCTGGATGGCTATGCACATATGTAGACATATTTAGGACTCTGGGACTTATGTTATGTTTATGGACTAGTATATGGGCTGTGTACTTGGTCAGGAAGACCAAGGTCCTGATCACTCACCTCTGGATAACTTTGAGGCTTTGTGCAAGCAGGAAGTGAAAGCCTAGGCACAGTTATAAAC